AAGGTTGGGAGTTTGATTCCCCCACTGTATCTTCAAGGAGAAGAGCCAGCCTGTGTAGACAAGAGCGAGAAGAAGGGAATGGTAAACCCCCATCTGAATTCTCTCTACCTAAAAAAAACTGTGAAAAGTTCATAGTTCAGAATGGACTGCCCATCTGAATTCTCTCTACCTAAAAAAAAAACTGTGAAAAGTCCATAGTTCAGAATGGACTGGATGAAACATGATGATGATGATGATGATGATGATATTAGTAAGGAATAACTCTTTGGATGACTACTATGCCTTGATGAACTCTGGCTTCATAAAGATGTAATTTTGAAGAGAAAACGAGACCTCAGATCACTTTTCCCTAATTATCTCTAAAATGGTCCCAGTTAATGGCCATCCACATACTGTGAAAGCAAATTCTGCAGTTTAACTCTGTGCTGTATAAAGAAGTATCTCTTTTTGTTTGCCCTGAATTGCCACCCTATCAGCTTCATTGTATAATTTTGAGTTCCTGCATTATGAACTTGGAACAAAATACTTACTTGACATCATGTATAATTTTACACACCTTCTTCATAATCCCCAACTCAGGGGATCAAAGGCACTCAGCCCTTTGAACATGTTGGTTAAATGTTTCTGTGCCTTTTCCTGCTCTGCTGTATCCATCTAAGGGTGTATGTGTTTGCGTGTGTCCATGACAAAAACTGTACACAGTATTCCAAACACAGTCATACCAGCATGAAAACTTCAAAATATTGGTGGTTGTGTTTTAAAACTCTTTCCTAAAAGATACAACAAAACGGAATTTAGCTTTTTATACCTGCTACACAATGGGCTGGCACTGGCTATACGCCATGACTCCTAATCAGTCAGTGCTAGCTCAGGCCCTGCTAAATGTACTATATAGAAGGTATGATTTTGTCCCAATGTACATCTTGTTTACTGAGCTGCTTTCACTATTTCAATGCCCATTCAGCCTTCTGTAAAGGGGGTGTGTCTACTTGATGTTCACAATTTAATCTCTTCCTCTCTCGTCCTCCTCCTCCAACATTAAGGACAGAGAATGGAGAAGCTCAATATTTTAGCCCATACATTGGCAATGATACGGAACAAGAATATTTCAAGTGCCACACACAGTGGAAATATCAGAGATATGACACATTCAACGCACCCGTGAAATTGGGTTGAAAATCAGATGCTGAAAAGACTTGCCTGAATGGATAACATGGCTGTCGGTTGAGGGCTCTGCAATAACCATTATCAGATTCTGCAATCTTTCTTCCTAGAGAACTGCTGACTCAAACGCAATCACAAATACCAACTTGCATCTTTTAATGGATCCCTTATCCCTTCCACCTTAAGCAACTGGGTGGGGGGAGAACTAAAAACAGAAGGCTGAGCTGATGATCAGATGGCAGTCTCAGCAGAACCTACTAGAACAAAAAGTCTCCCCACCTCCACCCCCACAACACACATTCACACTGAGAAATGTTTGTGTGGAGACAAAAAGCTAATCAGGAGGAGAATATCTCCAATGCCTGGCAACAGAATATGCAAACTAACAACTAATGAGGCTTGCAGACCACCCAGCCTGTAATTGGGCAACAATAGTATCATTAAACTAATAACAGCATTCTGGGGATATTACCAGTGCTTCGGGCACTTAGCAAGCATCCTTCAGAGTCAGTTAAGGAACATATAAGTGTGGTAATAAAAGGAGTTCACAAAGACCAAACAGAATTAAAAGGGGAAAAGAGCTTTTAACAAGCAAGGGAGAGGGTAAAAGAAGCCCACCAGGAAAGACCCAGAGGTTGGAAACATTACTTTTTGGGATTAGAACTCTTCAAATCCCCAGCCAATTTCCAAACCATGGAAATAAGAGATCAGAGCAAAAGCTCCCATGATATAGCAGCTTCTGCCTGAACAGCCTCTTTTTCACAGATATTTGGTAGGAAGTAGCCATTCCATTTCTGGAAAGATTAACCAAAACTTGTTGAAACTTGGGATAATTTGAAGACATAATGTTGCATTCTGAGGAAGGTAAAGCAAATACTGGGGAAAAAAGAGGATGGAGACAAGACATTGTTTTTCAAGACACAACTGAAAAAGAAACTGACCAACCAAAAATGTACAGCAGTTTATTTCAAAAACTATATTACCAGTTCTACCTGAAGAGTCAATTTATATATATATTCTAAATTAAGGACCATATTCTCTGAACAGCACAGGCAAAAGGAAAATATAAATAAAAAGTAAAAAAAAAAGACATAAACACGGTGGCACCTTAAAGACTTAACTTTTTTTTTAAAAAAAATGTGAGCTTTTGAAGACAGGTCCATGAAAGCTTACATCAAATATAAAAGTTTAAGGTGCCACCACATTTTTGTATTTGTTTTACTTATTTCTATTTTGCTTTTACCTAATGCTTGCACAGACTAACATGGATATCCCTTCTACAACTGCTCTCTGAACATATCAAATGCACAAAGGAAGAGAGCAAATACACCACCAATCAACATGGATCACATTCTTTGTCCAGTGCCACTGAGATTTTCAATGGTAGCATGCTCTCTTCAAAACAATGATGGTAAAAAAAATATGATCTATGCTCTTTGTCCTGCTTGTTTTCATTTTGGCATAGTAAGACAAGAAGAGGAAAAGGAACATTGATGATGTGAGCCCTGGCACAGAATGTTAAAAAGGGCAAAGGTAGTCACTTCATGGGTTGCAAAAGTGACAGTAGGGTAGCACTGATGCAAGTAATTGCCATCAGTATGCTTCTGCAGCATGAAGAGAAGCAGTGGCTCAAAGGAAGAGATCAGAGCCAGAAACTGATGCTATCCCAAGAGCTCTATCAAACCTACAAGCACTCATGTGGGACTACTCCCATATTCAGAGTAGAGCTTGTACATTGTAGACTCACTATGATTTATGCATCCTCTTCAGGAATTGCTGCCTTGTCGTGGACAAGACCCTGATGTTAGGAAAGTGTGAAGGCAAGAGAAGGGGACAACAGAGGATGAGATGATTGGACAGTGTCACCGAAGCTACCAACATGAATTTGACCCAACTCCAGGACGCAGTGGGAGGGCCTGGCATGCTCTGGTCCATGGGGTCAGTCGGACATGACTAAACAACTAGACAACAACAATGGTTTATGCACAGCGCACAGTTGCTGCTTCAGTTTCCTCTTACTTTAAGAGAAACTAATGGGAAACTTGAGTGAAAGGAATTACATCCTCTTGGGATTAATCATTAAAATGAGAAAAAGGAAAAGCATGCAATCACCTACATCAGAGGCTACTGGGTGTAAAGTGCGTACTTATAAACTGAAGATAATATTTGAAAAACCTAAAAGTGTAGATACAATGTTTACAGCTGCAGTACAATATTTACAGAATAGTGTGACACTAACAGGCAGAGTGCATCAGAGACAATGACTCATATTATATTGACCAAAAGAATCCCTAACAAGCTGAGATTTGTTCCAAAAATGAAGAATGACATGCATGTTGCGCATCACATGGAGTGTGGACTACATGTGACCCTCCCATCCAATATAAACAGCTCCCCCCAAACTGGCCAAAAATACTTTGCTGCCACCACCAAACTTCTCAAAATAATCACAAGGTAGTGATGGTGGAAAAACTTTTATCTAACACTAGATAAACAAACAAACACTGTTTGTTTATTTACTTACTTGTATCTGGCAGCCACGGCACAAACATCACAATAACGAAATAGTACAATATCAATACATTTGGGGTATCATAAAGGTATCAGGTATCATAAAGTCCAGTGAGAACAAAGATACAATACAATAAGTTACAGTTAAAAGCATAAAAATATAAAAGACAAGAAGCATGGTGGTGTGATGGATGATATTTTAGCAAACACTGTTGTATCATACAGCTGTTTGTTCAGGGAAGACAGGAGGGCCTGGCATGCTCTGGTCCATGGGGTCATTACAAGCAGGGTCATGAAAACCTGCTAAAATAGCCAGGTTTTTAGTATCTTTTTTGAATGTGCCCAGTGAAAGGTCCAGGCGAACTTCGGGAGGAAGAGAGTTCCATAGTTGTGGGGCTACCACTGAGAAGGCCCACTTTCTAGTAGTTGCTTTCTGGGACTCCTTCGGGTCAGAACTCTCAGCCGCCCTGCCTGGGATGATTTTATAGGGCAGGCAGATCTAACTGGAAGGAGGTACTCGGCGAGATACAAGGTGTGTGCCCTTCAGGTAGTTTGCTTACAAATAGACTGATGCTTCCAGAAGATTCCTGGAAATCCACTTGCAAACCAGTTGCATTGCAAGTGCCTTATTTAAAGAGGAAAAGCTATCTTTAAAGTGAAAACACCAGTGCCTCCACTACCTTTTAGTACCAGTATGGTGTAGTTCCCCATACCAGATGGGAGGGGAGGATGGCCCCAGACCCACAATGAAATTTCCCACAATAACTACACTGAGTTTATAAATATAGTGTATTTGCACCTTATTTTCATAAATAAAGCCGTTCTTCATTTTCCTCCTATCAGAAGTTGGAGGTCATAATGGCTATTTTGATGTTGGCTCTAAACAATGACACGGTCTTGCACCTAACGCAGTCTCAACATTTTTCAGCCAAGTCACTCTTTCAAACACTCTTAAATATTATCTGTGTAAATAAGAGGTTGCCACAGTGTTTTTGTTTCCTTAACCAAACTGCTTGCCAAATCACCATTTTTTTCCATATTTGCACATGCAATTAATACCTAGGGCTTCACCGAGGCTGCTGCCAATTGACCACAAATCCGCCTGTTTAATTGTTAAATTAAATTATCCGTCGCCAGAGCTGATAACCGATTCCAAATTGGAATGAATGCAAGCAAGCAGTGCAACACCTGTAACTCACAAGGAGATGGGAAAGCTACAGAGTTCTGATCCAGACAGAAATTAAGAACAAGGAAGGTTAACGAAGAACTAGGAAAAGATAAAGTTATTGGGTTGTAAAAAATCATGCTACATCCTTTCCGCCTACCTTGAGAGTTTCCACAGCTTTCTTCATCACTGTTGTCCTGGCAGTTATTCTGATTGTCACACATAAAGCTTTTATCAATGCACAGGCCATTCCTACAGTGAAACCGGTCAGTAGAGCATAGCAAGGGATTGGCAGCTGTGAAAACACAAGTAGGAGATTTTGTTCAAACCTAGGATCTTCACCCAGAGATGCTCAACTCCCAAGGGGGACAAATCCCATAGATGTTGTAATTCTATGTTTACTCTGCTAGTCTTCTATTTCCATTGTATAAGACTTTGGTGTACACGCAGTACATCTCTTTCAGTTTGGGAGTTGCTGTGATCTACTTCTTATTAATGTGCTCTTATTTCTGCATTTATTTGATGCTATCTCATTTGATGGGTTCTAATGCTTTGGTTTTAACTTTGTTTTTTTTATCTACACTTCATTAGCTATCTTGAGCACTATTTTTAGCAGAAGAGAGAAAAGTTAATTTAATATAACAATAAGTAGATATATGTTCCTTCAACAGGTTAAGTAAACAAAAAAAATGGATGCCCTCAAATTCTAAGATGGCATTCACAGACATAAATACAGAATTCTGTAGCATCTCACAGTCTAGTTGATTTATGTCTGCGGTGCATATAAGAGGCCAGCTATTCAATAAGCAGTGTGCCTTTCTAATACCTAAAGACTGATAAGTTTCTAATGTGGGAGAAGTGAAAAGAGGTGAGTACCAGAACCCAGCATTAATTGTAAACCCCTCTTTGTTGTGAACACAGAGAAACACTGCAGTTGTTTACCACCAAACCTTGGAATTTCTATTTTTTAAAAGGAACTTTTTATGTCACCTATTAAGATAGCCAGTTTGTTGTTGCCATTATTGCAACTTTCCTCAGAAAACTAATTCCTTACATTGCACAGTAACAGGTTGCTTTACCATTACCAGCAAGCGAAGAAATTATATAGAGAAAACATCTGTCCCTAGTAGCCAGCCCTGTTATTGCAAATTAAGTTAAAAATGGAAAAGACAAAATAAAACAGTATTTCATTTGGCTCTTAGAACTGATAAAAGAGCAACACAAACCTTGGGAAATTCTGGTAAAAATATATTTGAACATGCTGTAAAATAGCCCTTAAAATTAACCACTTAAAGTAACTAGAAAATTCTACTTGCCACACCAAAAAGAAAAGATTGCTTACTTGTAACTTTGTTTCTTTTGACTAGTGACACGTGCATTCACATGTATGGTTTAGTCCTGTGTATGTGATGTCTTGGAGTCTTCTAGCGCTCAAGCAAAAGTTATTTGGGAAGAGTGGTAATGAAACGATGATTGAGATGAAGGACTCGCAGAAGATGGGGATTCTCACACTCAAGAATGTAGTGACAGAACTGAGCGCAGAAGATAATGAAGGACTCAATGAACTCTCCCTCTCTATAGGCATCAATGGCCTGGACATGAACATAAGAAGATCCCTGCAGGATCAGGCAAAGGGCCCATCTAGTCCAGTTTCCTGTATCTCCCAGTGGCCCCACCAGATGTCTCTGGGAGCACACGAGACAACTAGATAACTGTCTCCAGATACCCCTCCCCTGCATCTGGTATTTTGAGGTACCTTCCTTTTAAGCTTGGAGATTATACATCCTCCAGCATGGCTTGTAACCTGCGATGGACTTTTCCTCCAGGAATCTGCCCAATTCCCTTTTAAAGGCATCTAGGCCAGATGCCATCACCACATCCTGTGGCAAGGAGTTCCACAGACTGACACCACACTGGGTAAAGAAATGTTTTCTTTTCTCTCTTCTCACTCTTCCAACACTCAATTGGGGTGGATGTCACCTGGTTCTAGTATTTTGTGAGAAGGAAAAGAGCTTCCCTCTACCCACTTTACCCATCCCCTTCATCATTTTATATGTCTCAATTATGCCCCCCGTGCCTTTTCTCTAGACTAAAGAACCCAAACGCTGCAGCCTTTCCTCATAAGGGAGGTACCCAAGCCCAGTCATCATTTTAGTTTTCTATTCTACACCTTTTCCATTTCCACTGTACACAATACTCCAGGTGCAGCCTTACCAGTGTTTTGTACAATGGCATTATAATGTTGGCTGTTTTATTTTCAGTCTCCTTTTTAATGATGGAATTGGCCTTCTTCATTGCCGCCGCACACTGGGTTGACACTTTCATTAAGCTGTCCACCAGCACACCAAAATCCCTTTCCTGATCTGTCATGGACAGCTCAGAACCCATTAACTGATAACTAAAGTTTTGAAATTTTGCCCCATTGTGTATTACTTTACATTTTCTTATATTGAAATGCATTAGCCATCTTGCCGCCCATTCTCCCAGTTTGGAGAGATCCTTTCAGAGATCTTCACAATCCCTTTTGGTCTTCATCACTCGGAAAAGTTTTGTGTCATCTGCAAACTAGGCCACCTCACCGCTTATCCCTGTCTCCAGGTCACTGATGAGCAGATGTTTAAGTGGAAAATGTGTAGCAAAAGAGCCCTCCCAAGGAACCCCACAAATGCCATCTTTAATTGCATGACAGAAGAAAGGCAAGGCCCAAGATGTAACTGTACTAAAAATACATAAAAGTCACTTTATGTTACTTACAGGTAAGTCAGCCCTAAGAACAGCTGCACTGTGTTGAAGATGCAGGGCATATAACTGATGGTAGGGCCCTGGTTGCAATTAAGGAACCAGTGATTTACAGTAGCTTGTCACACAGATTGTGTGATTACTCAGTTGGCCTCTACTGAAGGTTTGTATTGATATCACAAAGATTCCTGAACCTATGTGGCCAGTCACTGCAGTGGAGTGTCATGTACCCAAAGTTCAAAAGCCCCCTATGGTCTCCTATGCTTGCCTGAAATACTCTAGGAGTAAAAGGTAAAAGGTAAAGTTTCCCCTTGACATTTAGTCCAGTCATGTCCAACTCTAGGGCGCGGTGCTCATCCCCGTCTCCAAGCTGTAGAGCCACTGCTTGTCCGTTGACAGTTTCCGTGGTCATATGGCCAGCATGACTAGACATGGAATGCCGTTACCTTCCCACCATGGTGGTACCTATTTATCTACTTGCATTTGCATGCTTTCAAACTGCTAGGTTGGCAGGAGCTGGGACAAGTGATGGGATCTTACGACGGCTGGACTTCTGACCTTGCAGCACAGAGGCTTCTGTGGTTTCACCCACAGCGCCACCACATCTACTCTAGGAGTAAATCACCAATATTTGGATACTGTGGTTGCTTATTTATCTCCTACAGAATCTTTATCTTGTGCCTCTCCACTATGAACTTCCATTAGCTTTTCCTGACAAAGATTATGAAACAAAAGCATAATATGACAAGTGCAAATTTAAATAGCCTTAGGATAATGTTCTTTAGCTTCATGATATGCTTCAAAAAATTTCTCAAGTAACAATTGCAATAGGAATTATGGTTCTCAGTGTCTGTGGCTTTTGAATATTTTAAACCAACCAAACAGAAAGATGCTTCAAAGAGCAGAAATACAGAATCTCCATATAGAAACAAAAAGCAACAGACTGGATGCATATAATCCATCATGTGGAAACTGGAATTTACTGCTTGCACAATCCTCTTATAAAAGTGCTAAGTCTGCATTTCACTAATGTTCAGCAATGGGAACAGTAGGCCAGAGCAAAATCTAAATATCCACTGTTGGGCAAAAATGACAGCCAGGATTAGAGACTGATGCTTGGTTGCCACCAAGAGAACTAAGACACACATTTTTCTACCAGCAAGAAAAGGGAAGCTTTCTTACCTCAACTTGTCAAACTCCAACCTATTTCATTACAACATAAAACAGGATCATGCATGATAGACAGATGAATATTAACTCCTTACCAGGCAATAGGGCAAAGGGAAAGGAATGTTCCCATGCCAGCAAAAATGAACTGCTTTGTAGGCCTGTGACACCCCTAACTGACATGTGCGTTTTCAAACATTGACTGGTAAGGGAAAAGGAAGACGCAAGAGGAGATAGTGGGAGTGTTAAGCTATGGTAGAGTAGGCATTAGAAACAATAGCAGATTTCCACTTTAGACGAAATCACATGACAGTGTTCTGCATTTTTTTCCAATTCAAAGTACTTTTCCAACATTCAGCCTTAGTAGTATTGCTTGTTCAGTCATCCGCACAAAATGCAGAAACAATGTTGTCTTAATTAACATTTCCTTTCCTTTTTCTCACGAAAAAGTTTTGCAACATTAAACTGGATGTATTTTTTTTTTTAAAAAAAACAATCTTAAAAAGTCATTCCTCATTCTGGAAGAGAAAACGTTCAGCAACATTTAAAATCAAAATATTCTTTTGGGGAGAGGAGTTTATGCCTTCTGTCCTCATCTCCTGAATCTCTTATATGGTAAAATAAATAAATAAATCTGTGCCGCATCACTTCAGACTGCAGAAAATGGTAAAATAATTTAATTTTCTTACACACAGAAAACTTGCATGACATGGATAAGTCCAGGATACACTTATACCTGTATACAGTATATCTTTCTCCTGAGGCTATAGGCCACAGCCCCAAGAAAGCTTTTGCCAAATACGTAGAATGTTAATTTTTAATGTGCCATAAGGCTCCTAGGTTTTACTGCAACATACTAAAATGGCTGCCTTTCCAGGAAATGTATCAAAAGTACTGTATTATCAACACTGAGTCTCTTCTAGGTTACTTTGAAGCAAGTAAACATACAGGAAATTAATTCTTTTGATCCCACTCTGGAATTCAGAACTTAAGCTTGTTCAAAACGGACCAATTGCTTTCCTCCCTCTCTCTCCTTCTCCCTCTCGGTCTATCTCCTTTTTTAACGGCCAGATCTAAGAATTAACATTCAGGTACATTTGTGCAAACCGCTCTGTAGCTCTGTTTATTCAAGTATAGCCTAAAGAAAATTTCACTGTCCTTAGATCTTTTTCTTCCAGTTGCATCCCCTCTGGTGAGGATTTGTTCCCCAAGTTTCAGAAGGCACAAGCGCAAGACAAGCACAAAGGCTACTGAGAGATGGCATATGTGAATAAATAAAAAGGTCAAAGATGTGAGTTCCACCAAAGAGATGTCAACAAGGAGGGAGCAAATGTATTACAGTATCTTCCTGCAGATCTTTTGTTCACTTGCAAAATGGGTGAGGGGTCTTTCTCTCTTTCAAATGCTATTAAGAGAACAACGTTCCAGCTTCCTCTAGCATTCAAAAACCATCTCGCTCTTCTTGCTCATAGCTACCATGCACATTTCCTTACACCAGCAATATGCTACTATTTAGTCATAGCTGCTTGCAAAAGGATAGAAGGTCCATTTTTCTGTGGCCTTTCTCCTTAACACTGAGAACGACAAAGAGGAAGAAAAAAACTAGAAACTGAAAAACCAATATGATATGATAGTATCTTCTGCTTAGGGATTCAAAGCACCTTCCCCTCACTGAGGCAGCACCTACATACTGTACAGGTGGGGAATCTTTTTCTCCATATCCTTCCCCACAGTAAGCATGTTATTATTCATTCACTTTTGCCACTTTTTGGCAAACTAATTTCTTGTACACAACAGCTTCCACAAAGCCTAAATGGGATTTAAATAATTGTTGTTAGAAATAAGGTGCCAAGTTTACTTGCAGACCTACTGCAAAGTATTGATGCTTTTGAATTGTGGTGCTGGAGGAGCTTCTAGAGAGCCTCCTGGACTGCAAAGAGAACAAGCCTATCCACTCTGAAGGAAATCAACCCTGAGTGCTCACTGGAAGGACAGATCCTGAAGCTGAGACTCCAATACTTTGGCCAACTCATGAGAAGAGAAGACTTCCTGGAAAAGACCCTGATGTTGGGAAAGGATGAAGGCAAGAGGAGAAGGGGATGACAGAGAACAAGATGGTTGGACAATGTCATCAAAGCTACTAACATGAATTTGACCAAACTCCATGAGGCAGTGGAAGAAGACAGGAGTGCCTGGCATGCCCAGGTCCATGGGGTCATGATGAGTCAGACATGACTTAATGACTAAACAACAACAAAGACCAGACTCCCTTAAAGATAAAAGTGATTAAAGTTACAATTATGCTGCAAAAAGATGAAGGACATGACTTAACGACTGAACACCAACACAGAAAGCTATTTGATCCATTGTTGAAGAGCTCTTACTTCAAATAAATTCTTATGTTTGGGCAAAATTCCCTTTCTTATGATGTGAACCCGTTACTTCTCATCCCACCATGTGAGAGCTCTTTAGATATTTAAAGATGGCTATCATATTACCTCTTGGCCTTCTCTTAATCAGACCAAATATAATCAGCTGCTTAACCATTCTTTGTAGGACTTTATTTCCAGACTTTTTACCATCCTGGTTGCCTTTCATATATAATCCAGTCAAAGCTAATTTAGTTTCCCTCTTCAGAGACCAATACAGACCGATCAGCTCACAGTTCACTTCATAAACAGTCTTTCACATTTTTCAATTGTCATAATTGCCACTCCTGGCACATGTCCTCTCCATACAAAGCAAAAAGCAAAGCATGCTGCTTATATATATATATATATCGCCCCATAGCGCTTAAAACACTCTCTGGGTGGTTTATAAGTTAATTATGCAGGCTACACATTGCCCGCCCCC